CCCCCCCAAAAAAAAAAAAAACCTCAATTATAAAGTGCTTGTGATTAATCTCTACCCAACACTGATGGCGTGCATCAATCCACAAGTAATCTTGCCACTTGGAACACATCAAATACTGAATTACCGGTTCAGCCTGCACTATCATTCCTCATCATCTCCAGCAATACCAGGAATGAGGAGTGGAGATGCACAGCTGCTATTTCAGCCAATTGTCAAGTAAACTGTTAGGACTACATATAAAAAATAGTCGTACTCAGTGAGGCACTACTGCGCTCGCGGAAGTGAGGAAGTAGAAAGTGCGAGACAGAGTGGTACTAAATTTGACTCAAATCGCAAGCTATTTGACTCACAAGATCAGGAAAGTTACCAACTGCATAGCCGCAGAAGCAGAAGAAACCTGAGGCAAAATATCACAGATAAAAGAAGACGAAAATAAGAAATTACTTGAAACTGAAGGGCAAAGGCCAAATACCGAAGCACTTGGGCAGATTCGAATAACTCTGGGCAAGTGATTTAACTCACTTCTTAGAATGTATGCAGAATTTACGCATTAAAAATAAGAGAAATTTGAAAAATGAAAAAAAAAACCAATATATGGCGGATGCTCCGTAAAAAATGGCAAATCAAACGATGATATAAGCAAGTCTTTTCTTGCTTGGAATACGAATTCTTCGATAACTCACAGTTTTGATTTCGATTTCAACTTTTTTTAATCCCAAATTAGTTTTAGTTTTTCCATAGCACCAAAAAAAAGAGGGAAATCACAACACGAGGAAAAAAATGACCTCACTAGTAAAGTCCAAGAAGAAGGTACCACACACAAACTAAACGCAAGTATGTAGCTTAGGATAAAGGACCTGGCATAGCTACGTCCGAAGTAAAGGTACCAATCCCAGTAACGTCACTAACATGGAATTTCAAGCACCGACTGTCACAATAGTTTTGCTATTGGCAAACTTTGTTGTTGTTGCTTGGGATTTTGAGAATTAGTTTAAATTAATTGTTGGGAAATTAAAAAATTTCTGAATAATTCATCAATAACAAACCCGTTTGTGGGCCAACCATGCAAAATAAATGCTGCAAAATAACAACGCTCGAGCAGCATTGCGCCAAAATAAAAACTGGTTGGGAACAGCACCGTAGAATAAAACAACTCTTTGGACAATGAGGGAATGTTCTGGAGTACAGGTACTGGATGAAGGTTGCTCTTCTGGAGCATAATTAATGGTTAAAAGCTGCCCTGGAGCAGAATTACAGGGCGAAAATTGTTGCAATAGAGCAGAATTACTGGATGAAGACAGCTTTTCTGGG